AGTCGTCTATGTAACGACAGTACAGCAGTGGCTTGCGTTCCAGTACTGGCGCTTCTACATTTGACATGAAACCGCCGAAACGTTAGCCAATAAAGGAGAGTTAAAATCTTGGTCCATTGCTAAAAACAACTACACTACTCTAAAATCTGCTTTTAACACCCTTTAAGGCACCTAGAACACACTAGAGACTAATTATTGACGAACTTGCAATTATTGTTGCTGACTCATTGATGAATTTGCAAAATAAACTATCTAAGGGTTGAGAGGCCTAGGCGCTTAATGAGAAATAATGAAAATATTTTACTGCATTTAATCAAAACTTCTCACCTGATTTTCATTAAAGCCAAACTCGAGCCTAGTATAGCCCGCGTACTGCAAAACAGCAATCTGACTCTTAAAGAAGATGCACTTATTGAGTGAACGAGCTACTTAAGTGTTTACCTGTACATACCTCATTCTTGCCGATTTCCATCATGTTGGCAATTTTGTCGAGCATCTTCATTTGCATGGAAAAGGTAGTTCCAGATACTGACCCAGATCCATCCAGTAGGAACAGCACGTTGAGACGAAGAGCCACAGGACGACACACTAGATTTTATTTGTCATTATTAACGGTGTCCTTATGTTAGCAAGGGTACAAAAAAGAGCACGACAAGAAGAACCAACAGGATTGATTAGATGACAACGTTCTGCTCATGAGAGATTTATAGAATAGCATTGCGTCGTCGTATAAGTTCGTGCCATTTCCTTCGGTTTCAAACTCAAAAGATTTCAAACCGAAATTTTTACAGCAAAATATTCGAAAGAAGAAGTCTCCGTCATCGAGATTTTGGATGCAACTGGCTAGTCCCCGATTCAGGTTTGTAAAATTAGAAGTGATTGGAGATGGAAATCCAGACGGCAGGAGAGAACAACCGACAGCTATTTTTCTGGAAGAGAAGCTCGAAAAAAGCTATACCGCTACCTAGGAGGGCAGTTGGTTACGCTAGCTGCAAAAATCATATCCATTCCCCGCGGTAGGACCTTACTGTTAGGTTAAGGTAGTTTGAGAGGTCTATTGGGATTATCCTTCTAATTACAAGAATTACACCCATTTAAAATTAGGGTGGTTATATGATAGTAAGGTCAAACACCTGATTTACTGGAAAATGAAAAATTTGATAATTTTTGTCTAGCGTGCAAATGGCTGTACCATGGGGAATGCACATAATTTTTTTTTGTATATCATTAATTTCAGTAGACCACTTTTCAGCAATTTAGTGAATCTGATGTCACATCGTATACCTATAGTAATCTTGCAGTAAGGTACCGTCAGAAATAACTACGATTTAATCAACGCAGCCAACCATGCCCCACTAGGCCATTTTCGACTCTGAGTTCTTCAAAATCTAGAGAAATCCAGCTGTATGTTGAGCTCCTTTTAATCCTCTAGAGATACATTCTCAGTCACTTGTATTTGAGATAACCAGAATCTTTAAACAAAATAAGCATATCTTCTTTGGCGGAAACTTTTACTTTAATGATGTACAATGTACTGCCGAGACATCCGGCATCTTGAGAGATTTTTGACTCAGAAAAAGGCATGCTTATCCGATAACC